CAAGATGCATCATGTAAAGGTACAGTTCCCAATGAGAAATGTAATTGTGTTGTATACCTACAATGTACCAATAAAAGAATTTAATGAAAAAAACCAGAGGTAAATACTATGAAAGAGTAACACATAATCCAAAATAAAAATAAAAATAAAATAAAATGATGCAAGAAGTTTGTTGCTCTGAAGCGATTTCAAAAGGGAATTATTTTAAAATGCTGATGGTTTCTGACTTTTCCTTTCTTTTAGAATTCTTTTCCCCTGCCCCTTTGTTTGTGTTTGTGGTGCTGGAGAATGAATTTACTGCTTTGTACATGTCAGGCAAGCACTTTACCACATGGCTTCTTTCCTAGCCCTGCCTCAACCCCTTTTCTGTGATGCAAGCTAGTATTTTGTCAGATAAAAACACATAAAATAATAGTAAGGTAAGATAGGCAATTAATGGGCCTGGAATTTAGCTCAGTGGCACTGTGCCTGCCTGGCAAGCTCAAGGTCCTGAGTTCACTCCCCAGTACCAAGGGAAAAACAAAAAGATAGCCAATTAAACCTGGGATAAAAGACTAAAGAAAAAACCTTAAGAATAAAATACTGCTGGTAACTGTTGGTGCTGGATGATGGCTATGAAGATCACTATATTATCCTTTTTATTTTTTAACATGTTGGACTACAAGTTTGAGCCCAGCCTGGGCAAATTAATGGCTTAGCAAGACCCTGTCACAAAATAAAAAATAAAAAAGGGCTGGGAATGTAGCTCAGTGCACAGGCCCTAGATTCAATCTCCAGTACCACTAGGAAAAAAAACAACCCAAAAGCAAAGTAACTGCTTTGAAGATAATGATACACAGTATGTTAACTATTGTTATTCATAATATTTTGTTATAAAATTTTGTGTTTTTTCATAAAATAAAAGAATGATGCATGCTGGTTGTAGTTTCTTAGAACTGATGACAGGATCAGGGCAGTCACCTCTGGCTGAGCAGTGTGATAACAGGTGGTGTGGTCATCTCATCTTGGCTCCTTGTAGAAATAGCTCAGTGGTTTTGCCTCCTGCTGTGCAAGCTCAAGGACCCGAGTTCGATCCCCGGTACCAAAAAAAGAAATATCCTCTTCCAAAATCTTGATTTGTTTTTCAAGGTTAAAATCTTGTTAAAATTGTGTGCAGCAGTGCCTGTTTGTAATCCCAGCAGCTCAGGAGGATGTAGCACTGGTATGACAAGCTCTAGGCTAGCTTGAGCAACTGAGACCCAGCCTCAATAAAAAAAAAGAAAGCAAGATAGTGAAAGCAAGACTGTATAGACTTGATTCCAGTTTTCAAGTGTTTCATATTGTCAGGGTCCTCTTTAATCTTCATTTTTGTTGTTGCAGTGACTTGCTGTCCTCTGGGTACATAGAGAGACACATTGAACGTGGAGGGAAGATTGTGGAGGTTAAAGTAAGTGAAATTTTCCTTCCTTCTTTTCAGGGAAACTTTGAGAGTCTTCTAAATGTGACTGATCATGAGATTGTTTTTTAGTAATACTCTTAATTTGCAGTGTTGAGGGGTAGTCGTTGTAGTTGCTTCTGCTGTTTTGTAGTACTGGGGATTGGAACCAGGGCCTGGCACACGCTGGTCGTTGCTTCATCACTGAACTATACACCCAGCCCTTTTTATTCTTCGACAGTGCAGTTGCCCAGGACAGCCTCAGACTTGAGCTATTCCTGGCTCAGTCTCCAGGCATGCCTCATCATGCACAGCTTAGTTTGAGGTTTTTCAAATATTTAATGAATAAGAAATTTTATTACCCACTTGTGAAAAAAATTTACTCTTAGTTATCAGAAAAAGAATTATTAGCACATGATAGGAATTACTGGGCTCCCATCTTGTCGAAATGATAAAGGTGCTGTACAATTGATATAGCCCAAAGTAGTTCTTTTTTAGATAATGCCCCAGAAAATACTTTTTGAAATCTGCCTTTGGTTAACATTGAGAACCAAAATGTGAAATGTTGGGTCCAGGGCAGGGTCCAGGATAGCTTTGTACTCATGTGTGAAAGGCTTTCCCCTGGTAAAATGTAAAATGATTAAATTGATGGGGGCATCTTTCGGAGTTTAAAATACCTGAGGACAGGAATCTCAGGATATTGGCTATCATAGGTAATTGCTGAAAACATAAGCACGCAAATAAAAATCTCCTTCATCTACAGGCACAAGAATGTGTTTTTCCCCAACCCGGTGATGATGTAATCCTTGGGCATATGAGATCAGAAGCACCTGTGTGGCACTTTTTTTCTGTTCATTGTTTAATGTACTGAGTTTTGGTCAGCTGCGTATTTCTTTTGAATAATGTCCAGATTATTCTGTCTTTTTTGAATTAAAATGCCGCTTGTTAATAGCTGTTTTCTTTTTCCGATTACAAATTTGATTGATACTTGCTTTGGAAAAAATGTAAGCAAACTATAACAGAAATGGAAAATCACTCTTAAACTCATTACCAAGAGAGAAACTTTGTTTTCATTTTCTGTGTTTTCTTGTCTTCTAATATATGTACATTTTCTACATCATGCCATATATGCCTACAGTATATCTTGCTTTGTTTTGTGACATATCGTGAACATTTTCCTGAGCTGTTTTCCCATAAATCTTATGTTCATCATTTTCTATTTACATATAGTACTATAAAGTTTTTATTTATAGTTAAACTGTTACCAGTAATCATACTAAATTATATTGTCGAATTCAAATTATAGCCTAAGATAGTAGGGTGTTTCAGTTATTATATACATTAAGTAAAAATAAAGATTTTTTTTTGGCAGTGATGGAGGTCATACCCTGGGCCTCATGCATTCCAAGCAAGTGGTCTGTCCCTGAGTGTGCCTCCAGCCTAAGAAAGCTATTTATTGTGGAAAATTTTAAACATGTTAAAAAATAAAAAGGATAATAGAGCCATCTTCTTCATAGCCATCATCCAGCACCAGCAGTTACCAGCAGTATGACAGTTGTGTATGGAGTATTTTAGAGCAAATTTAGACACAAGGATGTTTTGACAGTAAATAGATCTGTATGTGCAGGTTGACTGTCCCTCATCTAAAATGCTTGGGAACCAGATGTGTTTCAGATTTCAGACTGTTTTGGATTTTGGAATATTTACATAAACTTTACCAGTTGATCAACCTTAATTTGCAGTGTTCCAAAATGTGAAACTTTTTGAGCATTTTGTTGACAATGAAGAAATTTTGGATTGTGGAGTTTAAGATCGGAGATGCTCAACTTGTACTCTCTGTATATCTTTAACTGGTAAAGATTTAAAAATAAAATCTTAAGTTTTACAAGTGACCTACATGAAATAGTCATACTAGTCCTTCCAGAAAATTATGCAAACTTAAGACTGATTGATTTCTATCCTGCAGAAGAGGATACAAACATTCTTCTAAGTTGGACATAGGAGAATGGAGTTATTTTGCTTTTAGGTGGCAAAAAAATTACCTTGCTGGATTCTCCAGCTCCTTTCATTTTCATCCTTGCTAATGTGATTTCACTGCTCTAATTTGTATGATAATGGTTTCCTGAGTGCAGAGTATCTTTTATTTCTTTGTTAAAGAGGGGAGGAAACAGGCAGCCCTCTGTCATTTCCCTCTTTGCCTGGGAAGGGAAGATGGAACACGGATATGCACATACAGGGTAGACCTAGCGAGCAGCTCTCAGCCCTCCCTCCAGCAATGTCCCTGTTAGGGTTTGGGTTGAGAATGTCCCTGAAAGCCTCCTGCACTTCTAGGGTAGGCTTCTGGAAGGTGATGCATCATGGAGGTTGGGGGAGAGCTGCACTGCTGTTCGGATGCAGAGTCTGGTTGGAAGAGTCAGGTTCTGGGAGCAAGAGCCAGAAGGGTCCATGTCCCACCCCAACTCCTTCCCTCTGCTTTCTGTTTCCTACCTCCATGGCATGAACAGCCTCCTGCTGGTCCTTTCCACCATGCCCTTCTTGCCTTGGAGCCAGCTGACGAAGAACTGAAAACATGAGCCGAAGTAAACCTTTTCTCCTTTAAGTTCCTGGGTTCGGGTATTTTGTCTCAGTGATCAAGAAGATGAGTAAGATAATCCCTTTTTGGGAAACTGGTTCTTAATCAGCGAAGTGTAGGACACTCTGTAATGTTCAGTGAATATAAGTAAAACCTTGGTTTGCGAGTATAATTCATTTGGGAAACATGCTTGTAATCCAAAACACTTGTTTATCAAAGCAAATTTCCCCATAAGAAATAATGAAAACTCAGATGATTCTTTCCACAA